AATTGATACTTCGTTGATAGACCAAGGAATCGATCGACTAGTGGATTGATCGGATTCCAGCCACTGCCCGGCATCTTCCCCTCTGTTGTTGAGTTACAAAAATATGCAGGTGGTTAGGTAATGGAAGTGTGACAGAGTAACTATTAAGCATCATAGCAATGGCAGCCATTGTAGCCTTTCGACTGGATCTCTTGAACACATATAACCCGATTTGGATGCATCTCATGACTTCGTTTCTCGAGTAATTATCCTTCAAAACAGGGTAAAAATTTCCAAGGGTGTCCCGTTCTTCCAATGTTTCCAAGCCTGCAATTGTTCATAGGGTAATGATAAATTGATAATTGGGTCAGCATAGCCAAAAAAGAATTGCAGACCCAATTATACTCACGTAGCTGATAAGGTCATCCGCACCATCCTTTTGATAAAAATTATTGTTTCTCTCACCACTTACGATTTCCAGAATTAAAACACCGAAACTGTATGTATCCGATTTCACCGAAAACTGCCCGTGCATTGCGTATTCTGGTGACATATAGCCGCTACAAACAGGTATCAATGTTCAAGAACTCATGGAACTTAGGCAAAGAAAATGCTGCATATGTTCAAAACTTACTAGGTTCCAACAACTCTTTTTGTAGTTCCTTGAGTTTGATCGCCTCCAAAAATCCTTGCCATGCCGAAATCCGAAATCTTCGGTTCACGTCACCATCTAATAAGATATTGCTGGCCTTGAGATCACGGTGTATGATTCTCAGCCGAGAATCCTCGTGCAGATAAAGAATCCCTCGAGCGACCCCTACAACGATCTTGTACCGTATAGACCAATCCAACTGTCCTCGTTTTTCAGGATCTAAAGAAAAAACCAATTAAGCATTCTTGTTCAAATCTTGCCAGTGCATAAAAATCCAAATTTTATTACCGAAAGAAACGGTCCAGGCTCTTGTTAGGAACATATTCGTATATTAGTATCTTTTCATCTGCTTCCACGCAGAATCCCAGTAATCTCACAAGATTCCTATGTTGAAGTTTGGCTACCAAGACAGCCTCGTTTTTGAACTCCTCGGAACCTTGCCCCGAGCTTCTCGACAGCCTCTTGACCGCGACTTCTTGTCCATTAGGAAGAATACCCTGACACTGTAAAATAACCGGCATTAAAAAGCTTCCTAATGCCGGTTTCCAGATTCAAATCTCTGCATCTGCAATGCTTCCCCATTGTAAAACAAAAATAATACCTTGTAAACTTCACCGAAGCCACCTTCTCCTACTTGTTGCTGTCCGAGAAGTTGTTTGTGGCAACTTCTATAGTGCTCAAATCATACTGCAACCACTCCATCGTGCTTATATCATACGCTGCTGTTCAACCAAATACAAAATGAGGTGAGACAATCCAAGAACAATGTGAACCCAAGAAACGAGATCGTTTATGGCTTGGAATAAGTTCGGTTTTACCGTTTTCTTCTACACCTTTGTCTTCTTTTCTCCTTTTTAATAAACAACAACCCAAGAAAAAGAGCAGAACAGAGACAGAGATCGGAGCAACAACGGCAATGATTATTGGCAATGTGTTCTTTTTGCTTTTTCCTGCACAAGCAATAAAGATATAGGAATACGAGTGCCGAACGCAGATAATTCAAGAAAAATTAAGAGTCCGAGCGGAGCAATATGACCGAACCTGGACTTGTAGGAGGAGGAGTCAACACAAATGGAGGTGGCGGTAGTGAAACTGCAGATTGATTGTAGAAAGGGTAAAGTTCATATCTAATGTTGCATCTCGGAGTTAACACTCTTCCCCCTTGCTTCCCATCGCAACAAACGGGCAAATCCGAGATAGCTTGTCTTAAACGCGTGTTACAATCTGAGGTTGTCAGGTCGGAGTACACTGTAAAAGGTTGTATAGTGTTTGAAACCCGGAAAGGCCTCTCTGGTCGCGAAGTTCTTAAAACGCATCGTGTCGGCCAGTATCCGGTTGAAACGGTCTTGGTTCGTGACGTTCCCAGTGTTCATCAAGTAAACCTTGGGTGCTCCGGCGACGGTGGAAACGATTGACTGGTTTGAGTAACGGACGAGGCAATCATCGTACCAAATCACCGCGGTTTTTTCGACAGGCAACGTTGAGTGACGTCTTTGGTGGCTGCGGACACACAATCCCGACACCCTTTGTCCGAAACATCACCCCTGCAGAGAAACAAACCGTGGACGGCGTAGGCGATTCTCCCGGAGGTCGTGTTGTGGAAACGTCGGCCGGCGGTGGCGTTGGAGGAAAGAGAAGAGAGTAGGTTATTGAGATTGGCTCTGTAAGTGGCGTTTGGTGGGAAAACTGTGGTGTTGGGACAGAAATGGAAGAGGTAAGTTTGTTGTTGAGCTTGGTGAAGCTAAACCATGGGAGTAACAGGAGAGAGATGAAGATGATGGAAATAAGCATCTTTTGTGTTCCCTTTTTTTCTTTTCCAGGGATAAGCAACATCGTCGAGTGTTGAAGCTAAGGTTGTTTAGTGGTGTCTAAGAGTCGTTCAGCTTGTCGTCACGTCAGACAGTCAACCCAAGTAATAAAGGCCATTGACAGATGGAAGTTGGGGATAAACACTGCATTCATATTCATTGTACCCTAAAAGACGCAGGGACCACTCACCCACCTTCAAACAAATCCAGCTCCAGTTCTTACACTATACATGGGAACGAAAATCGCCTGCCCCCTCCATTTCCATTTGAGTTTTGATTAATTACACCTTTAGTCTATAGATTTTATTTAATTATTCAATTTAATCATTGTTTTAATTTCCTAATTCTATGAATAATTAAGGAATCACGACTTTGATGCATAGACTTACACAATCGAAAAATATTCAGTGTTTACGAGCAAATCTCGATTGGCCTGCAGGCTGCAGCAATTACACCAACAACAGCTAATCAATCAACGAGGTGACAAATTTGAAATTGTTACTTCATTAATGGAGCATATTCTATACTTCGAAGAGGGTTGATTTGGTTCTGCAACAACACGTCCGACAGAAAATGCAGGCACTGCTGGTCGAGGAAGTGATATGGTCTCACTTCCCAACTTGAGAATCACAGAAGACATGGTTGGTCTATCTGCAGGGTCTTCTTGCACGCACAACAGCCCAATATGGATGCATCGAAGCACCTGAGTGGCCGGCCATTCACGACTCAACAAGCAACGGATCTATTACTTCCATTCCTTTACCTTTAGACCATAGTTTCCATGCCGGTAATTGTTACATAAATTAGAATGGAGCATCCTCACAACTATCAATCATTTGAAGAAACAAGTATTGGATAAAAGAAATACAAAGGTTAAGAGGCTTTCACCACGCTCCCAAAGATGAAACCCACTGTTTCTTTTGCTGCTGATTATCTCCAGCATGAGGACTCCGAAACTGAAAACATCGGATTTCACAGAGAAAAGACCTACCATTGCATACTCCGGTGCCATGTATCCGCTGATAAAATCAAATTAGATTCCTTAAAGATGAGAAGAATGTGCCTGTCTTAGTGAGATGATGGTAGGAGTTCATGGACTTACTATGTTCCGACCACTCTGTATTCTTTGCTTTGATTTCCAAAAACTTCTTGCCATCCCGAAATCAGATATCTTCGGGTTCATCTCATTATCTAACAAAACATTGCTAGATTTAAGATCCCGGTGAATGATTCTAAGACGAGAGTCGTCGTGTAAGTATAGAATGCCTCAAGCAATGTCATTGATGATGCTAAGTCGCTTCTGCCAATCCAGTAGCACACCGGAAGTTGGATCTGAAAAGATTAATCTCACAAAATATAACATTCTGAACAAGAAGAGAAGAATTGTTTGGTTTAAGAATCAAACCAAATAGGAACACATCAAGGCTTTTGTTGGGCATGAATTCATGGACAAGCAATTTTTCGTTTTGCTCCAAGCACAGACGAGGAGTCTCACGAGATTCCTATGTTGTAATTTGGTAATCGACAAGACTTCATTCTTGAACTCAATCAGCCCTAGGCCAGAACTTCTAGAAAGCTTCTTGACAGCAATTTCTTTACCATCCGGAAGTATACCCTACAAGAGAAATAAATGAACCTCTAGACCATCCGCACACACAAACAAGTCCCAACACTAGTGAACATCATCATACATACCTTGTAAACAGGGCCAAACCCGCCTTCTCCGAGTTTATTTTCTTCTCAAAAGTGTCTGGTTGCTGCATGTAAAATACCCAACTGACTAGAAGGAAACTCCTGAGATCTCACCCCGGTCTTGACATGAAGATTTTCATTCGAGTAGTCGTTGTCTACTCTTCCACCTAATTCAATTAGCTTAATATCTTGGCTGTTGCCATCCTCGTTCTCTTCAATACAAAACAATTAGTAGCCATAAATAACAATATTGTTTCAATCAGCAGAAATCATGTACATACCTTGAAAATATCTCCTTCTCCAAAGGAAGACACCTCCAGAAAAGATGAGGTGTACTCCAAAAACCGTTACTCCCATAGCAATCCATTTCGTTTGGCCTAGGTTTACTAAAACGATAAGTAGTCCGAGAAAACCAAAAAGGGCAAGCTAAATTCAGAATAATCTGATTCTACTAACCGTCAGTTCCACTTGTTTCGATTTCCGACGAAAAGGGCGCTTCTGGTTCAACTCCTTGTCCCTCGATCATACTGGTCTCCGGTGATTCGTATCGAGGTTCTCCATAAAATCGATATGTCTCGTACCTGATATTGCTGCTTGGTGTAAGAACCTTCCCACCTTGTTTTACACCAGAAGCGTTTGGAATTTGAGCAATTGCAATACGTAACATGATTGGCAATCTGGAACTGTTAATTGTTAAATCAGGGGTGCATTGAACAAGTCCATACAGCTTCAGGTAACTTGAAACGTCAGTTTCTTTAGTTGCATACATGTTCCTAGAAACATTCAGTATCATTCTATTCAGATTGTCGAAAGTCTCATGCAGATTCTTTCTGAAACAGTCGAATTCTGGTACGTCTAGAGTACTAAACTTATGAAAAGAAGGTGACAATTCCAGAGAAGAAAGATCTGTAGGAATAGCGCACAAGGCATTCATAATACCATATGATGGCTTCTTTTTTCTTGTGGCACTGCCTTCGGAACTTGGTGCGAGCCGCCTTGATGCAGCTTTGGCACAGATCAAGTTGAACGTCAACTCTGCAGAGGAAAAGACCATACACCTTGTCTGGATCTTCCCCTTCCGTGTCGTTAAAGAAACCATGACTAATTCCTTGATCGAAAAGTTTCTGGACGAGAAGGCGATCAAGATTATCCTCTAACCGGCTCAAAGAATCATAATTAAACTTTCTGGAGCAATTTGCAAGGAGATGTTACTGACCCCTGCATTTTGGACATGTTTTGTGAGACAACGAGGAACAAAGAAGACAGAAAGAACAGCATGATGATAATGCATCATCTTCTTCTTGCAGTTTTTTCCAAACAATTCTGAAATCTGACCAAATTTAAGACCAGAATTAACCCGAATCTGGACAACGAAGTCATTGTCTTGTCTTTTTTACTCTAATAATTTCCACAAAACCGAACCATTTTACAAGCTCATGAAAATATCTTGTAAGCAAAACTTTTGAGTCTTCTAAGTTTAACTTGTAAATTCGGATCAATTGACCATGCTCGTCAACCGATAATAGCCCTTTTGATGGTCTTATGAAGCTGCCAAGAATTGTCATGGAATTGTCATCAAGGCCAAATAGGAAAGGAAAACGTAGGTATGAAGAGCAAACTCAATCAATGACTTCAACTAATAACCTTAACCTAAATAGCAGCCTGAACCTTGACCTACATCTTATGGTCCTAGCGTCCCATGCAATAAGGTGTTTTACATCAAAAGTATATAGTTTTCACTAATTATAAGAGTTTTTTCTAACTTTGGAGTCGAATTGAATCTGACACTGGCGGAACCAATATAGGATGAGGGGTGTCATTTGACGCCCAAAAGTTTTTAGAAAATATATATTTTTATATAAATTATATATATAATATAAAAAAGTAAAAATATATTATTAAAAAGTTTTGACACCCTCTTAAAAACTGATCTTATATTTTAATTTTTTTAAATATCTAATAATAAAAAATCTAAAATCCCATTTCAATCTAACCTCACCTCCTCAAAATCTATTATTATTAATTATGGGTGTAGCATAGAATATTATTAAATAAAATAAGACTATAAATATAACTGGTTAAAATATAAAATCACCTCAAAAAAATAATCATATCATATATTTTTTTAAAATATAACTTAGAAATTGGATAGATTGGTGATTAAAATAATTTCAAAAAAGGACGGTAAAAATGTATAGTTATGCTGATATAAGTATATGTTTATTTCTTAAGTACTAAGATAGTGGTAGATTTACATATATATTTTAAGTACCGGTGTAAGTATGTATTCTTTTACTATCCTAGTACCTAAAAATAAATGCATACTTACACCGATATAAGTAAGCACATCTAGATTAATAAGTTAAAATCCAAATAAAAAATAAAGGAATATATTATTTTAATATTTTATAAGAAAATACCATTAATAATTAAAGAGTGTATAAATGAGTTAATAAATGAACTTATTCGTTAACATAAACGAATCAAACATTATCTTGTTCATGTTTGTTCGTTTGTCAAACGAACAAAAATTTTTGTTCATACTTATTTATTTAGCTTAATACAACTTATATGAACTATTCACCGAAGTTTTATTCATCTACACCATATTTTATCCATATTATATATTAATTTATAGGATATTAATGTTATGCATTAATATATATGACTTTATTAAGACGTTTTGATTTTTAAATGATGATACCGTAATTTAAAATTTTTGACTCCCTCTCTGGAATCCGATATTATTTCGAGAGATAATTTTTTGATATTTACTCAATTTACAAGATTAGGATTTGAAGTCAATTTTTCAAGGGACCATATCATTTTTACTATTCGATGATCAATAAGGATGATAATACAAGAATGGAATAATCAACTGAAAAGAAAAGAAGAAAGAAAAGTACAAGACAGATGCAAGAATCAACTGAAATAGACAGGACATTTCTTCTTCTTCCCAAGCCGGCAGGATCGATCCATCTGTCCGACTGCAACATCACAATTGACATGCATCTTATGATGCTTACTGTCCCATGTAGTAACCTTAAATCTAATCACCGACGTTTCTCCAACGAAACACCACCGTCCCTTGTTGCCTCGCATCCATGAACTCCTTCCACGGTTGCTGTTCACCGTCATGTCGCCCCAGCGAACGTACCGTACACGATCGTCGTCGTCTTCGGTTCCTGGAAAAAAGGGTCCATCAATGGAGCCGACCCGATTTTGATCCTTATAGAAAATCGATCCGACCACCGAGTCGTAATAGATTCCAATTGTTGGTTGGAGTTCCTATCTGTGACATTGAACGATCAAAAGCATTCTCGAACCCCGAAGGTTGAGCCAAAGCAACCGTGAAATCCACGATGTGAACCGCGGACGATGAGGGCGTAAACTAAGCCACAAAATGAACAACAAGATTCCAACAAGTAAAACAACAGACAAGAATACGGTACACAGTATTTTGATGACTCTATTGGTGAAGCTTTCACGAACCCGATGCGCGTAGTAGCGGGCAGTGTGGTGGCGTTTTGAGCGGTTGTGGGGTTGAGGTAGGTTCGGTTGAGCCGGGTAGTCTTGTAGGGTGTACCGAATCGGCAGCCTGTCGGAACCACCACCGGACATTGTTTAATCCGGCTTATCGAGAAGAATTTCAGGGTTGTTTATTTTATGATGAAACAAAAGGGTGTTTATGTAGGTGTTATTACGTGATCTAAAAGGCAAGGGAACGTTAAGGAATTTGGAGTCTTTAGCATGTGAAAGAAAGGAATATGAGCATTGTTTAATGAGTAGAGGCTTATTACGGATAACCATCAACAAACTATCGTAAATATATATGTATATAATTATACAGGCATGTTAACCCTAATATATATACATACAAACAAGAGAAACTCCATAGATTCTCATTTTTTATCTCAATTTTTTTTATGAAACAAATTGTGCTGCCAACTTTTCTTATCGGATTAAATGAATTTTATTACAAACTTCATCGATGTTCATAAATGATCTTTGTTTGGATAATGTATGTTAGAAAATTACAATGTTTGTTTCTTGGGGTTGGGTTGGTTTAGAAGCAATTTCAACGTGATTTTGTTGCTCTATTAATTCGTTAACTACGTTTAGTTAAATTAAGATATATTACTTTTTATATTATACTGCCAGCTTTAAGGTATAAAGGTATCTTGCAGCGTATGGCAGCTGAAGGTATGTTTACAATTTAGATAAGAATATGGTTTTCAAATTAGGTGGATACGCTTTGTTTATGGTATTCCATTAATTAATTCAAATTAAAATATTTTTATAATATGATAATCAATAAAGTTAAACTTGGAATATAAACATTTAAATTGTTGAGGCCTCTTTTGAACGTGAAAAAAAATTGAAAATGGGGCATTAACATTTTGGGTTTAGGAAATCGAAGCGAATGTGTTATGGCTTATTCCGGCCGGTAATAACTGGATTGGGCTACCGTGTTTTTATGATCATTGTGCGATTTGGACTCTTTACAGTAATGGGATAAGAAACACGTCAAGAAGCTATCAATATTCACAATCGCATGTTATATATCGACATAATGTTTAAGTTATTTAGATTCAAAAAAATTTTCAAAATATTTCATAATCACGTTTACATTATATTCTTTAATGTTATAATAACAATCATGTCAATTGAGTTAAAATATTACATACTTAATAATCACGTTAACATATATTAAACTAAATTTTTTATTAAAAAAAATAATCAAATAATCCATTTAATTCAATTTGGATTTAAATAAAAATTTGACCTCGAATCCATTCAAACGATTAACTATACTTTCATGCATGTCTTCAAAGTCAAGTTTGCGATTAAAACTCAGCCGTCAACTTTAGAAACAGGTTAACTGTAATAAATAAGCAAAAAATGTAATATTGATCAGCTGCAATTCAAAGTTAAGTTTGATGATATGCAAGGACAAGCCAACTCCTAGTTAATTAATCACTATGTTGACTTAGAAATGCATATATTTCATAATAGAGAGGTGCCTCAAAAATCAAATATATAATAATAACTTGTAATGATTTTTACATAACAAAACATTGCCCTCCACATGGTTTTAATACTACAATTTCAGTATCAGTATTGATTATTTAAATTGCTATTTAATAATTGAAGATAAAATTAATTTGTTTTATTTAGGGTTATATTTGTTATATTTAAGGTTATATTTGTCATGAATTATCAGTTAAAAGGGCGTATTCTGCATTTTTTTACTATTAATTCTGGAAAGTAAGATCATGCACGAAAATGAGCATAACACAACTAAAGCAGTAGCAACAAATTTATAAGATCGAAGATTTAACAATCAAATATTATCGATTTAGAACACTCGTCACTAAGTGTCCTAAAAGTACTGATTTGAGACCTAATTCGAATGATCCCACATGTATTCAAGGAATTCCATCTCCATGGTAAGTGGAACAAAAGTCACTATTTTCATTTCCCATTTAATCATACAAGCAAGATTACCCAAAAGGCCATGGCTATTATCGTAAACATACAGAATACCCTTCCTATAGTTCAAAGAAAAGTTACGATATTGTTCGACATCCTATATGTTTTATGATAAGGGTTTTAAGTCCCATCAATCATGGAACAGTTCAATTTCATTAAAGGTTAAAGTAGACACAACATTTGAAAATATAATATTAAATTCATCGAAAGGTTTATAATTGATTATTCAACTGATAATATTTAAAAAATAATAATTTTACGAAAGAAAAATAAAATCTTTGATCCCTCAAAATCACAATTAGTAAAGTCGTCTAACGAAAACTAAAATCAACATCTACAATACACAATGTAAAATTACAATTTGTAAAATTAAATGAGTCGTGGTATTTCAATCAATAATTTAGATAATAATTAAATTAAAATTTATTGTTCAAGCAGTGAGTGTTGTTCAGAATTGAATTTTATGGTGATTGTGCCAGCAACAAGTGGATTCATGTTTAGTGTGGCGTCAATATCAGACCACTCTTACTGCACAACTTTAAGTTGTGCACGCAATTGCATATGTTGTTAATCAGTCTAATTATACCCAAATCTTTCACGGTGGAGATGCCCTCTCAACTAATAAATTTGACAGTCACGTCAATTATTAAATAATCTATATGATTGCAAAATTAATTAATTTATTTTAAAAAACATTTTTATAAATTTTCATACATTAAATCAAAATAATAATATGTAGCATCATCAATTTTGATCCTAATATTGTTGAAATTTAATCAATTATT